GAAGCTGCTGCTATAATGGCCATTGCCCTGGCAAATGGTGATGGAAGGCCTCCGGACTGGCAGGACTTCGTTGGTATAATTGTCCTGTTGGTGATCAACTCCACCATCAGTTTTATTGAAGAAAATAATGCAGGTAACGCTGCAGCTGCTCTCATGGCTAATCTTGCTCCGAAAACTAAGGTGCGGTACATTCAGCAACCCAACAGTTTGTTGAATATCTTTCTGTCTTATTTAATCATGATTTCGCTTGTTGTCCTTGTAACATATAGGTTCTTAGAGATGGTCGATGGAGCGAGCAAGAAGCAGCAATTCTAGTTCCAGGGGACATTATCACTATTAAATTGGGAGACATAGTTCCTGCGGATGCTCGTCTTCTTGAGGGTGATCCTTTGAAGATTGATCAATCTGCTCTTACTGGGGAGTCTCTTCCTGTCACGAAGAATCCATCAGATGAAGTGTTTTCTGGTTCAACGTGTAAACAGGGCGAAATAGAAGCAGTTGTTATTGCAACTGGTGTTCACACATTCTTTGGTAAAGCTGCCCACCTAGTGGACAGCACCAATCAAGTTGGGCATTTCCAGAAAGTGCTTACTGCCATTGGTAATTTCTGCATCTGCTCAATTGCAGTTGGAATAGTCGTTGAGTTAATAGTCATGTACCCAATACAGCACCGCAAGTACAGGGATGGGATTGACAATTTACTGGTTCTCTTGATTGGTGGAATCCCAATTGCTATGCCAACTGTGTTGTCTGTCACCATGGCTATTGGTTCCCACAGGCTTTCTCAACAAGGGGCTATCACAAAGAGAATGACAGCCATTGAAGAAATGGCAGGAATGGATGTTCTCTGCAGTGATAAGACTGGAACTCTGACTTTGAACAAACTTACTGTTGATAGAAACCTAATTGAAGTATTTGCAAAGGGAGTCGAAAGAGAGCAGGTTATTCTTTATGCTGCAAGGGCTTCAAGGACTGAAAATCAGGATGCTATTGATGCTGCAATTGTAGGAATGCTTGCAGATCCAAAGGAGGTATTTCTTTTGTCTTCCTGGTCTTTTATTATATTTAGGATTGGGTCCAAGAATTCCTTAGTCATTTTTTATACTAATTGGGCAGGCACGTGCTGGCATTCGAGAGATTCATTTCCTCCCATTCAACCCTGTAGACAAGAGAACTGCACTAACCTACATTGATTCTGATGGAAACTGGCATCGTGCTAGCAAAGGTGCACCGGAGCAGGTACTTTATTTTCTCATTCTAGAATAGTTATTACCTTTTTGGGTAGGTAACTTCTAACACATATGCTTTCAATATTCTTAAATAGATTATAACTCTTTGCAATTGCAAAGAAGATGTCAAGAGAAAGGTTCATGCAGTTATTGATAAATTTGCTGAACGTGGGCTTCGGTCTTTAGCTGTTGCAAGACAGGTCAGGAAAGTAAACTTGCACATGCTTGAATCGAGAAAACTAAATTGTGGTAATAATACTATGTTTGATTTCTATTTCTGCAGGAAATACCTGAGAAAACAAAAGATAGTCCTGGGGCACCATGGGAGTTTGTTGGTTTGTTGCCACTATTTGATCCTCCAAGGCATGATAGCGCTGAAACAATCAGAAGAGCTCTTAACCTTGGAGTGAATGTTAAGATGATTACCGGTGAGAGTTGTTTAATTGTTTAGAATTGAACATTATCTATAATTGCATGATGTAATCTTTATACTATTTTTTAAATACCTAGGGGATCAGCTTGCAATTGGCAAGGAAACCGGAAGGAGGCTTGGAATGGGCACAAACATGTATCCTTCATCTTCTTTGCTGGGACAAGACAAGGACGCTTCCATTGCTGCTCTCCCTATAGATGAATTGATTGAGAAGGCTGATGGATTTGCAGGAGTGTTTCCAGGTGTGCTTTAAGAACTTTGTTGATAAAGTTTAATTAATTAATTATAGGGCCTCTACTCTTTTAAATTTTCTCTCTAACAATTCCTTTCCATACGAATGACAGAACACAAATATGAAATAGTTAAGAGGCTACAGGAGAGAAAACATATTTGTGGCATGACAGGAGACGGTGTGAATGATGCCCCTGCTTTAAAGAAGGCAGATATTGGAATTGCTGTTGCTGATGCTACAGATGCCGCTCGAAGTGCTTCAGACATCGTACTGACTGAACCCGGGCTAAGTGTCATTATCAGTGCAGTGCTGACCAGCAGGGCTATTTTCCAAAGGATGAAGAACTACACTGTGAGTAATATAATTGTTTACTTTTTCCCTCTCTTATTCCTCAGTGGAAGTGATTGTAACCTTTTTTTCTCTTATTCCTTCACATTGTAGATCTATGCAGTTTCAATCACCATTCGTATTGTGGTAAGTATACAAAGACCTCTAAGAAGCAGAGTACTTGTAATGCTAAATCTCTTTACAAATAGATTAAGTTTTTCATTGTCATTTGGCAGTTTGGCTTCATGTTTATCGCCTTGATATGGAAGTTTGACTTTGCGCCCTTCATGGTTCTAATTATAGCCATCCTGAATGACGGTGAGATGTTCTTTATCACTATGCGTTATTATACAAGTCCCCAGACCCACACCCACCATGATTTTGAATCTGATTAATTCATCATCATATTTATAGGTACAATCATGACAATTTCCAAGGACAGAGTGAAGCCATCTCCACAGCCGGACAGCTGGAAACTGAAGGAGATTTTTGCTACTGGCATTGTGCTTGGAGGTTACTTAGCGCTAATGACTGTGATATTCTTCTGGGCAATGATAGACACCAATTTCTTCTCAGTAAGAACCTCGTTTGCTATGTATTATTTTGGTGAGATTTCTTTTAATTTGCCATTTCCTCTTTTTCAGGACACATTTCACGTTAGATCACTGAGGAATAGTAATGAAGAAATGATGGCAGCTTTATACCTTCAAGTTAGTATTGTAAGTCAGGCCCTCATTTTCGTCACAAGGTCTCGCAGTTGGTCCTATTTTGAACGCCCTGGACTTCTCCTAGTCGGTGCTTTTATGATTGCTCAGCTGGTAAGAAAATTTAACTAATCTAGTAAACTATCCATTACAGAAGTCTTTTTTTTTAACCGTAAGGTTTTAGAAGGCTCATATATGTATACATATAGTGTGTATTAACAGAAAACGACCTAAAAATGTGTGGCAGGTGGCTACTTCGATAGCGGTGTATGCAAATTGGGGTTTCGCAAGGATTAAAGGTATGGGTTGGGGATGGGCTGGTGTAATCTGGCTATACAGTGTGGTAACATATCCCACTGGATCTTCTCAAGTTTGCAATACGTTATGTTCTTAGTGGAAAAGCTTGGGACAACCTTTTGGAGAACAGAGTATGTTCCATTCATCCCAAATTGGTGAAGTGCGTTGACTTTTTTTGTGGTCTCATGAATTTAATTGGCTCTTTTGCATTATAGACTGCCTTCACTACGAAGAAAGATTATGGAAAAGAGGAGAGAGAAGCACAATGGGCAACCGCGCAGAGAACTCTGCATGGCCTTCAACCACCTGAAACCTCAAGCATTTTCCATGAAAAGAGCAGTTACAGGGAACTTTCAGAGATTGCAGAGCAGGCCAAGCGCAGGGCTGAGGTTGCGAGGTCAGCCATCAAATTTCTGCACCTACATATGCACTTGAAAAAAAAGTGGATGTTAATTTGACGATTATTTTGTGTAGGTTGAGGGAGCTGAATACACTGAAGGGGCATGTTGAATCGGTTGTTAAGCTCAAGGGGCTTGATATCGATACCATTCAGCAGCATTACACTGTTTAAATAGTGACGATGACGATGAACGAGGCCCTTTTCACCGCTAATGTTAGTATTGTTTCCCAGACTTCCATTTTCGTTTCCCTAAATGTTGGAATTTATGTTAACTGTTCTCCCCTCTTTTTAGTCGTTGATATACAATATCATAAATATTTCAGCTGCCCTTTATTATGATACATGAGGGAACTTCATTCTAATGTTTTGCGTCCTCTTCGAATTAAACAAAACAATTTGCATTTTAAACAAGAAAATTCTCCTAATCTAAAATTGTTAACATTTTCACAATTTGTACTAGAAAAATGTAATTCATGCACGATTAACATTAACATACACTAAACCATATGATCTACTTTTGTTTTGATGTTAAACCGGTGAAAAGTCAGGACAATCACTTAAAACCATATATTTACTTATTTAAACAAATTGACTTTCAATTAATAAAACTATACGTTAGAACTTATAACGTATGTAACCTGCCTGCATGATATCTTATTTATTTTACAATTCATTGCGATTTCATTACCCATATTTTTTTATTTCATTAATTAAAACTGTTTTTAAAAAATAGGAAAATTTATGTAATATGATTTATTTATGAAACTAAAAGAGACTTAATTTTGCATGACAATGCCCAAAATGATGAACTCAGATACTCGGTTCAAATATTTGGAAAATGAAAATGAAAAACACGTTTGCAATAAAAGGGAAACAGAACGAGATAGCGGGAAAGAAGAGAGCAGAGGGAGGGAGAGATTCCACGATCTAATAAGATTTAATTAATTAAATAGAAAATAGAGAAACTAAATAGTAGCAGTGAGAGAGCAACCGATCGATCCAACACAAAGCGGAGCAGAAATTATAATAGTAAATCAAGAGGAAAGGAAAAGAAAGCTCGAAAAACATAAATAATAGTAATAATAATGAACTCGCTTGTAAATGACAAATCGAGGCTGCCTGCTGCTAACAACCCAAATAACAACTTAGTGGCTTTCGATTTATATGCAATTACTTCAATCAAGGTCAGCCTCATCAATCTTTTAACTTTTGTTTTCGTTGATGTGAGCTTGTTTTTCCGCTTCCATTCTGGTTATTGTCTCTGCAATTCTTGCTCTTTTCTTGGCTCTTATCCTACCTAATCCACTTATCTCTTTTCTTGCAACTTTAATTTTCCAGTTCTTAACAAAAAAAATTCTTGTAGGGTTTTAATTGCTGCAGTCATTTAATTTTCGGTTCGCGGGATTGAAATGACGTGCTGTTGTTTCTTTTAAGTTCGGTGATTCCAGCTCTAGGGTTTTGATTTAGGGTTTAGGGTTTCGGCTTTGTTTACTGGTGTTTCTATCAACTACTCAAGTGTAGTTTGATCCCATTGGGTTTTGGTTCTGCAACAATGACATTTGGTTTGCATTGTATGGTTTCTCCCTGGGTGAATTCCTGCATGTTTGGAAGCTGAAATAACTCTATCCACCTTGGGAATTCTGAGCTTTTTTCTCTCTCAAGCATGCTGCTTTACTTTCTTTATGCATAGACTGAGAGTTTGGTTTGCATTATATGTTATGCAAAGCGGATTTGGACAATAACTGTAAATTGGGTTGTTAACTGGTTTCTGCGATTCTTTAGTTCTGTGAATGGCGTAAGAATCTGTTCATTCAGCAATGCAATCCCAGCAGGGCTCCAGAATCAATTTAGGTGAACTGAAAGTTCAGATAGTGAAGAAGATTGGGGCTGAGAGGTCAAAAAGGTATTTTTATAATTTGAGTAGGTTTTTAAGTCAGAAGCTTAGTAAATGCAAGTTTGATAAGTCATGTTACCGCATTATTGGGAGGCATCATTTGTCACTGCATAATCAGTTGATACGTTCAATCTTGAAAAATGCATGCCAGGCTAAGACTCCACCTCCAGTTCATGAAGCTGCCGTGAAATCTTTGATACAAACTTTGAAAAGGTCTCCTGGTAGAGAAGATGCTCATGGTCAGACTAGATCCCTTGTTCCCAACCAAAATGTAGACATTTGGTCAAATGGAGTTTTCCCCGTGTCATCCCCACGAAAGCCTAGCTCCGGAGTGCGGTATAGAAAGCTCAGGGATAGACCCCGCCCACTTGGGCCAAATGGGAAGGTTGAGAGTATCTTACATCACTCGATGACAATGGAAGATAATGGCAGTAAATTGGGTTTCGAAAATGGTGATTTGATTTCCTATGATTACCAGAGACCAGTACAGCATCTTCAAGCAGTTGCTGAGCTGCCTGAAATTGACAGAGAAGGTTTGGCGCACTCTACAGAAAAACCAAGGCTGCTTTGTAAAAACCAGGCTGAAGCAGCTGTTGTTGAAGATGGGGAGGTGCTGGAGCAAGTTAACCACATTAATCTCTTCAGAAGCCCTCTGCTAGAACCACTTGGGATTCCATTTTGCTCAGTTAGTGTTGGAGGGGCCTGCAAAGCTTTGCCAGTTGCATGCCGTGGCTACTTCATTAGCTACTATGGTTGTGGTTGTTTATATGATAATGAGACATTGAAGAAACGAATGGAGCAGATCGCAGCAGCACAGGGCCTTAGTGGGGTTTCTGTGGAATGTGCTAGTTTGCTAAATAACATGTTGGATGTATACTTAAAGAAACTTATCAGGTCGTGTGTAGATCTGGTTGGATCAAAGTCTACACCAGAATTGAAAAAGCAGTTTGCCCAGAAGCAGCACCCTCAAGGAAAGCTTATTAATGGTATGTGGCCAAGTAACCACTTGCATATGCAGAGTAGCTCTGGGCCCACAGAAGTTTTGCAGGAACCTGTGCAGCATTGCTCGATATCTTTGCTTGATTTTAAAGTGGCAATGGAGCTAAATCCCCAGCAGCTGGGTGAAGATTGGCCGTTGCTACTGAAAAAAATTTGTGTGCGTTCTTTTGAATAGTGAATTCTGTGCAAAATGCTCTTGACAAAAACGATCACTGACGGTCACAGTTCTTTCCCATTATTGACATTAAACAGATGGTGCCCAGTTGCATAAAGCTCTGCACCTTGAAGATGAAATTGTGGGTTAAAGTGTGGGCATGCGTGTACCCCTGCCGCAGAGCCAGGATAAATCTGGAAATTACTTCTGAGCAACTGAGCTAAGTTGCTTAAAAAGGAAGTACTGACAACTGGTTGTCATGTTGTACGATTAGCATTGTTTTTGGCCATCTTCTGCCACTTCAACAGATCTCAAGCTTTTTTTTGCAAACTGCAGTCATCGAGTAGGAAGCCTAAGAAAGTTTTGCAGGAAAATTGTTTTGTAGCTTGTTGAAAGGTAAATTTACTTACGTAAGGGCTTCTGTATAAGGCTATATGTAATTTTAAAATCTGAGAATTTATTGAGTTCCATGAATAATAACAAATCAGCATCCATTAAATTATCCATGGTGATTTGTATCTAGATGCTGCCACTCAACAAGTGCTGAAATTTCTAGCTTCTATGCTTCCGGTTCTATTTTTCTGTGGAGTTTTTGACTTGCTAATTGTAATCAATTATCATTTATTAGATTTTGTGGCATACAGTTTTCATGGTGCTCAAAGTATTGTTCTGATTCTTGATTTGATACGTACTAAATTTCTAGGTTCAAGCTATCTAATGTAACAAAGTTCATGAGTTGCTTATTGAGCTAACAAATTTTAAGAAGTTTTAATTGATCATAAGCTCTATAGGTGAGGGTATTTAGGTCTCTGCAGAGCCGTCATGCTAGGTTGGTTTATATGCTCTACAAGTGTTCATATCCTGGATTAAGTCATACAATCTGCTTTCTGATGTCTGACTATCTGGAACAGGAAAAGGGCATTTGGATTGCTTGTGATGTTAAGAAGTAAAAGGTTCTCAATTTGGATAATACTAATTATGTACGAACACCCCTTCCATGTTCAGTTGGAGTTTACTTGCTGTTGCGTTTTATAACTGTTGTTCAATTTCATTCTGCTCTAGATTTGAAAAAGTTGTTTTGCAGTATAACTTTTCTTGTTATTTATAAGATACAGGATGCTATATTTTGAAGTTCTGCTTTGAGCTACTAAAAACTGGAAACCGTGTTCCTTGGTTATATTTACATTGAGCAAAAGTTGGTGATGGTAAGTTGGTAGTGATTTTAGTTTATTATTATTATTGAAATGTTATTGGTTCCTTTGTTTTGCTTGTAACATTAATCTTTATCACTATTTCATTGGTTTATTCTCGGAACACTTTAAAGAGATTCAGTGTTGCGTTACTTTTAATCTATGAGTCATCTGCTTGTGGTTGGGGCAAATCTAAGTGAGGCAGCTATTATCAAACAGTTATAATTTATTAAGTGGAGAGATTGGCTAATTCATGTACCACTTGTGAAGATGTGAGAAGAAAAGTATTGGATTTGTTAAATATGTTATCCATGTTAGCTACTTCTGAACCCGGTGTCAAGGTTCAGTTGTTGAATTAGTAAATGATATATTTGGAAATTGAAGTAGGTTCCAAAGCCTCTGCTTTGCATTGCATTGCTCTGCCAAAATGGAATTAGAATTTAAACTTGGAAGCCGATGAAACCTTCAAAAATCAGGGACAAAAAAGAAAAAGAAAAGAAAAACATAATTGCTTTTGCATTCAAGGAAGGGATGAAAAGTAAGTACATCATACACTTAACTAACGTTTACCAGAAATTAACTGACTTCAACAACTGCAGTAACATGTGCAATCTGATATGCATTCCTTTCGGGGGGGGGGGGGGGATAAGTTCTAGTGCAGAAACAGCAGTTTATTAGCCGACTTTAATGAAGAGGTTCCATATTTACATAATATAAAGTTAATATAATAATAATCGTGAAGATAAACCATCAATTTGTACAAAAGAAAACTCTCTTTGCCTTGTTTCTTTCCATTCTTCAAATTCGTGAAGACTGTGGTTTCTGTGCTGATGCTTTGCAAATAGGGCACCAGTTCTTCACCTGCAGCCACTGCTCTATGCATGCTGCGTGATACTTGTGCTCACACTGTAACCTCCCTACTTCATCTCCAATCACATACTCCTCCTGCAAACATAAAATCATCAAATGAAAAACCCTTGTGCTCCCATTCATTATTAGACGAGTAGAAGAAATAAAAAGCATAAAGTTTTAACTACCTGACAAACACTACATTTGACATCATCCTTTTCACCCTCACAGCTCGTATTTGCATACTCTGAAGATGCTGTGTTGTAGATGCTTTTCTTGAGGCATTTGGACAATGAGTCTTCCGATAGCCCGGTGTTCACATCACCCATTCTCTCTTCTAAAGCTAGTAATTCCTGCCATGATAGCAAGAAAGGCTAATCATGTAGTTTATCTTTGACAAAAAGCAGATACCCGGCAAAATAAAATGTATACTCAAAAACAAAAACAAACCTCATATGACATATTATCTATATCCAGTCTCATCTCTCTATGCTGATCATAAAAGTCTAGGCCATTCAGGAACAAGCTGGTCTCTAGAACAAGTAATTGCTGCAAGACAGAAACAGAAATCAGCAACAGAACCATCAGGCAATACGAAACACTTCAAGCCTAATTACCTCATATGTCAACTCTTCATCTTGATCAACCCTCTGAAGTGCCAATAATACCTGCATACACATAGTCCAATAGTAATAAATAAAACAATACTTCAAACAAGCTACTTATGATTCATTTTAACCTCTCCCTGGGGAGAACTATGTAACACCAGATGATTTCAGATATTAATGGGTAAAAGCTGTTCGTAACATTACGCTGCCCATAGAAGGAAACAATGAAAAAATTAGAAAGTTCTAACTCCATGCATAGGACAATGCAGGTTGAGATCAATATACCTCTGCAATGCCATCCATATTGTAGCGCCGGAAGCTATCCCGGTTCACTAAAGTGCGGTTAGTGCCAACTTCTGAAGGACTAGACTGCATGATACTGTGTAAATCCTCACTTACACTACCCAATTGACTGTAACGACTAGCACGAGTTGAAACAGGAGCACTCAAATCGTTAGGTATATCTGATTGAGGCACTTGAAGCATTGCTATAGGGGACTCATTCAAAGTTAAACTATTTCTGTTTGCTTGGTTAGGGAGTCTCCCTCTAACATAACTACTGTTTGACCTCCGAGTTCTAACTGAAGCAACAACAGCGCTATCTCTGTTAGAAGGCCAATTCCTGCCACGTTTTGAATCAGAAATGGAGACACCATGGCCAGAAATGTTGTTCCGTCCCTCCGAAGATGGCCCACTCAACTTTTTCCCTTTTGTGGAGGAAGTACCCTCCTCATCAGAGTTTCTCTTTTTTACCATGTCTTTCTTTTTGGTGAGGCTTGAATCCGAAGATGAAGAACCTGTTATCACAACATCAGAAATAGAATTACATCTTAGATTTCTCAAACCATACTTGCTTGTGCTAGAACGAGTCACCTGGGAAGTGCTTTGAGATCCCAAAGTAACAGATGGACTGGCCAGAGTATACTGGTTGCCCAACCCAGATCTTTGTATAAATTTTCTCCAAGGTCTAGAGTTCGATGCTACACTAGAGCTTCCAACTCCCATCACTGTAACATCCCTAGAATCTGCATTGTTGGATTCATGATGCAGAATCTTTCCTGGTGGAGGTATGAGCTCAGGCACTTCCGGCTCATCCTTTAGGCTACTAGTTTCAGATGAATCCGTTTCCAGCTGAGATGATAGCTTTTTCCGAGGATTTGTAGATGATTTCTTAGTGTTACTAACTGCAGAGGATACCCTAGAGGAATTTCCAATTACTTGCTTTCCACTTGATGAAGAGTGGTAAGGCCTTGAAGATTTGGCTTTATCGAAGCCACCATTTGGAGTGCCTTTTGAGGAATTCAGCCTACCACTGCATCCAATTCGATTGCAAAACTGAGCATTCTGTTCTCTGTTATTAACACTGTCATTCAAAATGCGACCCGATCCCTTTCCATGTACAACAGGCCCATCAACAGCTCTTTTACCATTATATCCATCCATGTAGATCACAAGTATCCTTTATATCTGGAAATAAATCAAAATAAATGTATCAAGTAATGACAGAGATCCTCTACCATGACATATGTTCAGTTCAGGAGGGAAAAGAAAGAAACCAAAACCATAATTGCAAGCATAACACACAAAACAATTCCTGATGACTATTCTTGATGCTACTTTCCATAAAAAAAATTAAAGAACAAGGACCACTTGTCAAACTTCTAAAGCTGGGTAACTTTCAACACAAAACTAGCATAACACACAAAACAAGAAACAAGGGCGCAAATGTTCATACATAGATCCAACTTCAATATGGTTTTGCCTTTCCACAAAAACCAAATTTGCGACTTCAATTTATTAACTTGAATGCTTATAACTTACTCAGGCTATGATTCAAGAGCCATTAACGTAATCACCACCAAGCAATGCAAAAATATCACCAAAGTGATAGTGACAAGTAACAATAGTTAAAGGCTACTCAAATTTGGAACCATATAGATAGAGTTTGTATAACCTTCATTGCTCTAAGCCTCTAACCTATGCACCCTTCCTTCCAAAGGAGCTGGGGAACGGAAAACAAACCATTAACAAGGAAAATTTGCAGAACAGAGTCCTAAACACAATTCTATATCACAAGCTACTAGGCTTGTTCAGCAAGGTGTTAAATTTCAATTTTCTTTCCATCAAAAACAAATAATTCTAGAATTGCATGACAGGGTTATGAATAGAACCAAAGTAATTGTTCTTTAAAAAAATCACCTCAAAACTGAATTGAACCAAAAGAATACATGGATGGTTGAGAGCATAGAAAAGAGGGAGAAGGATATAAAAGAAATAAGCACCTGTGTAATCAAATGAGAAAACATGGCTTTGGGTGTTTTATTTTCTTAAAACCAAAAGTAAATAAGAAAAAAAAGGAGGGTATATGGTCACATGTTTCAGTATTTTTTGTGTTTGAACCCAACAAAAGTGAGTCTCTCTCAGTTTGGTTTTCATTTTCAAAGGCCGACACGATCACTTTTATTATATTTTTCATTTCTTCTTTCCTAAAAATAAAAGAGACTTTATCCGTGATTTAAGGGTTCAAAACTAAATTAAACTTAAAAGGAAACCAACAGAGAAAAAAATAAAGAAACGAAAAAGAAATGAAGAAATTCTTCCAAGTTCGAAGCCACCATACAGAAATTCGAGAGGCTCCGTTACCAAATTTTTCTTGGAAAGCAAAGTAATCATTCATTCATATTATTTATAACCCAAAAAACCCTTGGATTATAACAAAGATCCTTTTTTTAGAGGGGAAAAAAGAGATAGAAAGAATGACCTTTAATGGCCAGATTTTTGTTTCTTCAGAAAAAAAAAGGTTAATTGAATAGATAAATATGATGGAAGTGCGGGTGAAAAAAGAAAACTAAATAAGAAGGAAAGGGGTAAGCAATCATGGTGTACCTGTTTGGTTCTCTCTGAAAAATTGAAGAAGGGGAAAGGTGTTCAAAGGAGATGATGATAAAAGCATAAAGAAGAGAGAAATAAAGGCGCATTAGGAAGACCCAAAGCAGCCTGCAAATTTGCAATTGGCAGCTAAATTCTTAATATTTTTTATTATTTTATATTATTGGAACTTGAAAGGAAAGAAAGTAAAGAAGCAAAAGCCATTGGCAATTGCAGTACCTAAACAGCAAATTGGTGTTGGGTAATATTCAAACCCCAAGGTACTTTTCTGCCAAGGAATTAGCCAAAGGAAGGTCAACGAAACTCTAGCACTCTCTGCGCTGCGCCGTCTAAAAAACGGTTAATATACGATATGATTAATTAAAATTTATAGTGATTATATTATATTATTTAACTAAAAATATTATAAAATATAATAACATATTAGGTAGCACTTATATAATGTAATAATTAGTGTTTATATTGATCTATTTTATAAGTAAACCGATATATTTATACTGATAGTATTGCAAATTTACCTATTAAATTATAATATGTTGAAAGTGTCTATACTTTTTTATAAAAAAATCGATACTTTTTTTTAAAGTTATGTAATTTATGTTTCAATTTTTTAATAGTGTTTCATGTTTTCCACCTACAATATTAATTTAATAATTTCATTTGCACAAAAAATTATTTGATTGTTTTGATATTTTATAAAATAATATTTAGAATTTAAATTTAACAATATTAACCAAAGATAATAATAAATATGTAATATATATGTTTAGTGTTTTTAATTTAATAATAATATATACCGTAACATAAAAAATAAATCATTAGATACATATAATTACTAAATTGATATCTTAAAACTCACTCAAAATATAACCTTAAATTAATGTTTTCCACAGTGAAATAAGTATGGACACTTTTATAAAAATGATAGATATTTTACAATATAAGCACTACCTATTACATTATATAAACGCTACCTATTACATTATATAAGCGCTACCTATTACATCATATTTTTACCTATTATATTGAAAGTGTCCATACGTTTTATAAAAAGGATCGATATTTTTTTTAAAGTTATGTAATTTATGTTTCAATTTTTTTTAATAGTGTTTCATGTTTTCTACCTACAATATTAATTTAATAATTTCATTTGTACAAAAAATTATTTGATTGTTTTGATATTTTATAAAATAATATTTAGAATTTAAATTTAACAATATTAACCAAAGATAATAATAAATATGTAATATATATGTTTATTGTTTTTAATTTAATAATAATATATACCGTAACGTAAAAAATAAATCATTAGACGCCTATAATTACTAAATTAATATCTTAAAACTCACTCAAAAGATAACCTTAAATTAATGTTTTCCACAGTGAAAAAAGTATGGACACTTTTATAAAAAGGATAGATACTTTACAATATAAGCATTACCTATTACATTATATAAACGCTACCTATTACATTATATAAGCGCTACCTATTACATCATATTTTTACCTATTATATTGAAAGTGTACATACTTTTTATAAAAATGATCGATATTTTTTTAAAGTTATGTAATTTATGTTTCAATTTTTTTTAATAGTGTTTTATGTTTTCCACCTATAATATTAATTTAATAATTTCATTTACACAAAAAATTATTTGATTGTTTTGATATTTTATAAAATATTATTTAGTATTTAAATTTAACAATATTAACCAAAGATAATAATAAATATGTAATATATATGTTTATTGTTTTTAATTTAATAATAATATATACCGTAACGTAAAAAATAAATCATTAGACGCCTATAATTACTAAATTAATATCTTAAAACTCACTCAAAAGATAACCTTAAATTAATGTTTTCCACAGTGAAAAAAAGTATGGACACTTTTATAAAAAGGATAGATACTTTACAATATAAGCACTACCTATTACATTATATAAACGCTACCTATTACATTATATAAGCGCTACCTATTCCATCATATTTTTACCTATTATATTGAAAGTGTCCATACTTTTTATAAAAATGATCGATACTTTTTTAAAGTTATGTAATTTATGTTTCAATTTTTTGTAATAGTGTTTCATGTTTTCCACCTACAATATTAATTTAATAATTTCATTTACACAAAAAATTATTTGATTGTTTTGATATTTTATAAAATATTATTTAGTATTTAAATTTAACAATATTAACCAAAGATAATAATAAATATGTAATATATATGTTTATTGTTTTTAATTTAATAATAATATATACCGTAACGTAAAAAATAAATCATTAGACGCCTATAATTACTAAATTAATATCTTAAAACTCACTCAAAAGATGTACATACCTAAATATGTAGTTATTGTACATACCTAAATTTAATGATAATATATACTTGTAGTTATTGTACATACCTAAATATGTACTGTGAATTTAATGTTGTACCTACCCTTTAACTACCAGTACCAATACCACATCCTATTGAAAGCAGCACAACTGAAACATGTTCAAAATGAACCTTTGCTTGCATCTCCATCAACTCCTGGACCACTGAACTTGCACAACAAAATTTTTGTCATGGATAATACTGATGTAGACAATGTTAAGCCAACCGAGGAATGCCATGAAGTACATAATGTTGATGAATCTGACAGATTGGTTGGTCAGCTCTTCTGTTCACGTGATCAAGCTTGGTACTTTTACAAGGGATTCGTACGGGAACATGGGTTTAGTGCACGTAAGGGAACAACACGGCTTGACGTGGAAGGGAATGTGAAGACACAAGAATTTTGTTGTTCCAAAGAAGGGTTTCGAGTATCAAAAGTCAATACTGTTGATCGTCAACGTGCTCATACGCCAGTCATAAGAACATGATGTAAAGCTAGAGTCGTAGTTACAGCAACAAATACAAACGATCAGTGGGTTATAAGTAAGTCTGATCAGAAACATAATCATGCATTGTGCACACCTGCTATGACACCATTTATGCGTTCTAATAGAGCTGTAAGTAAGGCTGATATCGATGAGGCAACAATATTGAAAGAGGTCGGTGTTGGCACGTCACAAGTAATGAACTATTTAACGCAGCAGGCAGGATCATAATGTTAGATTTACATATAAAGACCTCTACAATGCACTTCAAAGAGGTAAAGCAAAGGAAATCGTCGATGGGGATGTGAATGCGCTTATTGCCTACTTTGATTATAAGAAACATGATTATTCCTGGTTTTTTATGACATACTCGGTAGACGAATCGGGGGCATTGTATAATCTTATTTGGTCGGATTCTACATCGAGATCGGATTACACATGCTTCGATGATGTAATTGCGTTCGACACAACGTACAAAGATAATTTGTATGGTCGACCAATTATGCCTATTGTTGGTGTCAATCATCACCATAACACAATTGTGTTTGCCACTGTCATAATCGCTGACGAGACGTCTCAATCTTTCGAGTGGGTGCTACAGAATTTTTTAGAAGCCATGATGAATAAATCACCTATTTCAGTTGTCACCGATGGGGATAGGGCAATGCAGAGGGCTATCAAATCTGTTATCCCTTATGCTAAGCACAGATTATGTTCTTGGCATCTTTCTCACAATGCACAAGCTAACATTGGTGACCCAAAGTTTACAGCAGCATTCTCAAAATGCATGGCTTCCTGGTGGACAACCAAGGAATTTGATATTCAATGGCGTTCGGTTGTTTCAGAATTCAACGTCCAAAAGCATCTATGGGTGATTGAGAAGGGAAATACACGACACTTATGGGCACAAGCATATCTAACCGGTCATTTCTTTGCCAATATTCGCTCAACACAAAGGTGTGAGTCTATGAATGCTTCACTAGCTATTGCACTGAAACACAAGAAGACATATTTAGATGTTGTTCGTGCAATTGAAGATGGAATTAGTAGAATGCGTATGAACGATTTGAAAGCGGATTACTTAAGTTCCCATATGAAGCCCTTCCAGATCACAAAACTGGTCGACCTTGAAAGCCATGTCGTTGCGATTTTTACCCGCGAATCTTTTCGTGTGTTCCAAGATGAACTTATACGGGAGACATTGTACCGGATTGAGGCAGAGATTAAGTCCTTATCAGATGAATGTCAACATTATATTTTGTCAAAGTACGCAGAAAAAAATAGGAAATTTGAAATTAGTTTTGATTCTCGTACGAAAACTCTAATTTGCTCCTGCAAAAAATTCGAGACCGTTGGACTTCCGTGTCGCCATCAACTTCACATTTTGAAGCACTTGGACTACACATATTTGCCCGGGACTTTGATTCAAAGTAGGTGGACTAATGATGCGAAGGCTTCTGCACCCAGCTATGTTGATTTGAATGTGTCTCCAGAAGTGATGCAAATGGCAAGGTTCGCTGTTCTACGTTCAACGTCAAGTAGGTTATGCTACATTGCATCAAAGACAGACGAGTCTTTCAAAACCGCAAGAGATGAGATGAAAAAACTAATAGAAGAATTAGAAAACTCGTTTGGTTTGAATGATTCAGTCAACCAGAGCATTGTAGTAAACAATGTTCGTGACCCTCAACGAAAACAACGCAAACAAAAAGAAGTGTCGAAGAACAAGGTCGAGAAGAAAATTAGGCGATGTGGGTACTGCAACGGTGAGGGACATAACAAACTAACATGTCCTCAAGTCAAGCTCAGTTTGAGTACAAGCACACAGCCTACATCAACTGATTTTTCGAAGACGGAATGGAATGACAACGATCTCCATATATCGTAAGTATCAACATGACTCCTATTGTATGTACATATAAATATTTTGAATGAAGGAATAAAAACCGCGTTACTTAAAATTACCGACACAATATTAAAAAGTGTCGATATAGGTTGTAGACCTATTCGCTCATAAAACCGGTATATTTATACAGGTTATATTATAAAATTATCTATTACATTATAATTCTGGGTTCCGATGTATAAATGTCGACACTTTTTGACAAGGTATCGACACATTTTTCTTCCAATCTGGACATAAAGTACCGACACAATATTAAAAAGTGTCGATATAGGTTGTAGACCTATTCGCTCATAAAACCGGTATATTTATACCGGTTATATTACAAAATTATCTATTAC